CCCCAAAACCCCAAAACCCCAAGCTACTAATATTCAAATCTTTTTAATCTTTTTAAAAATTGGATTTTTATTAAAAATACTGAAAAATTATAAATAATTGAGACAATAAGTCAAATTATAAATCATAAAGAAATCATCACTGCTAGATAGAGTAAACCTCTATTTCAATAACTTTGAATTAATAACTTCCGGCCAAATGTTCTTATGCTTATTAGTCTTACCATTTATAATCTAATTGAGGATTAAAAGTACCCCCTAAATTGCAAAGACTGTCTCTATTATTGTTACAATCATCATTAATTCGTATATCGTTTCCTCGACCAAAAGCAATTAAAACGTCTTTGTGATGTCTTAATGCTTAATCAGGGAATTTGTATTATTGATGAATAGTATTTTTACTTAAAGAAAATAGAAAAGCTTCACTGTCTTTTAACCAAACACCTTTCTTATTATCAGGATTTGTCCAAGAAACAGATGTGTATCCACCGAATACTTACCCATGTTCACTCATAATAAAAGATATTGTTGGACCCATATTATCACAACTCTGATGGAAATTAAGAGCTTTAAATCCATCTCTTGTAGCTCTGAAAATCAATTTACTTTTTCCTTTTATTTAAAATAATTTTTATGGTTGTGATCTTTGCCCTTTTTGTACTTTTTGTAATTCCAAACATTAGTCAACCAATCTTCTGAATTCATTTTATTTAGCATTATCTTGTTCTTAACTTATTTTCGGTGCACTAATTATTGATTAAATCATTATTCCTGGTGTATATTATTCCTATGTTTTATTGATTAAAGGCTATGATTATGAAGGTTTTATTTAATCAAAGACTACAGGTTGCTACTTTTCTTCTTCAATTTCATTTTTCTTTAAAATAATTTTTTTATAGCTTTAACTATAGAAATTAAGATGAAAAATTTACGAAAAATTATTGACAAAGTCCAAAATACCAGATTATGCCTGAAATAAACTCATTTACTTATCATCAGATTAAGATTACCTTAGAATTTTGAAATTCTTTTCAATCATCATTTTTAGTTCTAAGACCCTAAAGTTTCTTTCCTTGTTTATAAATTGATGAATGTTATCCATTAGGATTTAGATTTAGTTCATTTCTTCTTTCAAAATTGGGAGCATTTTCTAAAATGATTCGTCCAAATATTTTCTTTCAAAGGAAAAATGCTGCGTGTGATCTTTAATAAAATGCAAATGAGGATTACTCTATAGACATCTACTGCAAACCATTTTATTTTACTCTTTGCAGAACATATGAGCTTTTTTATCTGGATGTTCATCACAACGGATCAGATAAAAATCAAACTATTAGAGATTTCTAATCATGAATGTAGGTTCAATAACGGGTTGATTAACATTGCATAGATGGCTACTATCGAAGGGACATTAAATTTGCTAATTTTGTACTTGGTCTTTCTGTATTTTATAGCAATGAAGACAGATATAATCTCCACAAGATAGCAAAAAGGGCTTCCTTTCTTGAAGATTGAAAAATTTGTTGCAACAAAAGCAAGTAAACATATCATTAAGATTAGGTTGCATCTTATTATCTATTAAAAAATGATTAAAACCTTTAGTATATATAAATATAGTTTAATTTTCTAATTTAACGATAAAT